CAGTTTCTTTACGCTGTTGTTGGTTAACCAACAGGAACTAGAACACCTGCAGGGTGCTACTGTACTAATATATTCTATAGTTTGAAAACAGTTCATACATATCTCTTGAGAAGAATCTAATGATTGCCAGAGAGTGTCTTAGACTAGTGGGTTACTTCTGAAAATCTACACATTCCTATTGTATCAATATCAGATTCTGAATCTGATCTCCAAGTCACTCCTATTTTCTCTTCTGTCTTTTTCATTTCCTCTGGATTCTTGAAGTTGGGTTAAGTTTGTCTTTTTTTTCTCATTAATTTGCTTTTCTGTAGTTTCCCTAACACTAGTAAGTATCTCCCTTGCAATTTTCAATTCAACAATCATGTTGCTTGAAGGCTGAATTATTCGTCTCTGTTTTTCACTTCTCCCTGTAATATCTGTGCTCTTTGCCACCTAACTCTGACGTTCTGCCCCTCAATGGTTGAGTGTGTCTACTCGTACTGATTTTGGCCTTGGCAACATGACTTACTTTGGCTAAAGACCTCTTGGCAGAGGTTTATTTCTTATTTCTTTCTGCTCAGCCTGCTTGTACATCTGTCATTTCATATATGTATATGTATATATATATATATATATATATATATATATATATATACACACACATACATACATACACATGTATATGTGTGTGTGTATGTATCCTGGCCAGGTCCTTAGTCGAGAGAGAGTAAGAGCAGACTATAGCTCACAGCCACTCAGCCAGGCTCAGCCAAAATGAGCCGAGCCACCCCAGAAAATCCCCATGACCATATGACACGGTAGGATGGTTATATTTACAAAGGTCTTTAGAGCTACTCAAGTGGCATTCTGGACTACCGGAAACTTGCTTGAGGGGCTGCGTGTCCTTTAGGGGAAGAGGAGAGCAGCTTCCTCCTTTCCGTGGGATTGGAGCTTAAAGATGCTAAACATCCCGGTAGAAAAGAGGAGAGTAAGATGAAGGGAACCGGAAGCTGACTTTCAGAGTAAGTAGAAATGCACTCCCTTGGGAAGCCCTGTGGAGGAAATGCTGCCCTCGGCAGCCCTGTTCCCACAGAAAGCAGCTGCAGGGAGCACAGTCTTTTCCCTAGGAAGACGGCCAAAGGCCAGCCAAGCCATGCCTAGGGCAGAGGGAACTGTCCCCTGAATCCCAGCCCGTGTATTCCCTTACCACTTCAGGCTATCAGGGTTTCTTTCTCCTGGTGTGGGTATCTTAAAAGGGCTCAAAGGGAATACTTGTGTACATTAAGCAAGCTCTTTATTCTGTTGTCTCAAAAGATAAAAAAGAGAATTTATTCTTCTGAGTACAGTCATGTCCAGCTGAACTGTAAACCCAGCCCCTAACTTTTACACCTCACTGATAGTCTATGTAGGGAGTCCTGGGGGTGCAGGCGTTAAAGTGCTTGGCTGCTAATCAGTGGATGGGAGGTTTGAACTCTCCCAGTCTGTGGGAGAAAGATGTGGTAATCTGCTTCCGTAAAGATTTACAACCTTGGAAATCCTGTTGGGCAGTTCTACTCTGTCCTATAGGGTCACTATGAGTCAGAATCGACTAGATGGCAGGGGCTGGGTTGGGTTTGGATATCTATGTAGCAAAAACTGAGTCTCAGTTTAAGACTTTCCTCCTATGTGTACAGCAGTCCTGCCTCATCTGGGGCTTTGCTTTCCATGGTTTGAGTTACCCGCAGTCATACCCATGGTCTGAAATGTTTAATTTTCATACCGTTCTAAGTAGCATGACGAATTCCCATGCTGTTCACTCTGCAACAGAGCCAGCTCCTTCCTCCCTGGACATGAGCCTGGAAACACAGCTGGGTGAGCAGCAGTACCCTGCCAGCATCCGACTGGTTAACGCTGCCCGCATGGGGCACCCTGTGTACGTATCATATGTATGCATAGGAAAAACATAGTATATATAGAGATACTGCCTTGGAAACCCAAGGAGGGGTCACTATGAGTCAGGACTGACTCGATGGCAGTGAGTTTGCTTTTTGGTATATAGAGTTCAGTAGCATCCACAGTTTCAGGTATCTCCTGGGGGTTGGGAACATATACCTTGCAACAAAGGGGGACTACAGTAATGGCTTATCTTGCAGGTGAGTTACCACCTATGAGGCTGCAGTAACAACGTATTTGTATTCAAGCTAAGGTGAAACTGCCAAAGGTCACAGAACTAATTTTACTCTATTTTCCAAATCCGTGATACCATCTGTCTACAATAACACGTACTAGAGGAAGTGAGTGTTCATGTCAGGCTCAGTGAGAAAAGATACCCAGTTTTTATAAAAACTATTTTTGAACCAAGTTGTCTGCCATCAGTGTGTACGCTGTCTCCCTCCCCATCAAGTCCGCCCCAGAGGGGCCCTGGAATTCTCACATTGGATTCCTTACTCCTGCCTGGAACTCCTCTGCAGGTGAACACTGGCCCACTCTAAACCTGAACTCAATTTCTGTTATGAAGAGACTGTGCCCAGGCCACTTGGTTTCTAGGATTTTGCCAAGTTGGGCTGGAGATGAGTGGCTGACCTGCTCTGCATGGCAGGGGTCCCCAGAAACATGAGACACCCAACCCCATTTCTTTCATTCAACAAATAGTTATGGAGATTTGATTTTGTTCCAGACAAAGTCAGGGCTGTGTAACACCAGTAAGAAAGGAATGATGCCACTATAGTTGAAAGTAACCAAGCACTTCCCACTCTGAGACCTAAAAACATGTTTTCTATGAAACCATGTGTGGTAGTTAAGGTTGTGTGTCAACGTGGCTGGGCCTGGTTGAGTGGCTGGGCAGCTGGATGCAGTAATTCCCCATGGTGAGACTGGTAATTAACTCCATGGTAAAATCTACTGGAGCAGCTGAATAGCTGCTTTAAGGATACAGTCTGCTTTCAGTATATGAACAGCAACTTTGAGGAAGGTCTCTAGCTTTTGGCACGCTTAAACCCTCCATGCAGCCGAGTCTTCATTCAGCAGCCTGCCATGCTGTGCCAATTTTAGGACTTTCACTCACTTACTCACTGCCCTTGAGTCGGATCTGACTCATAGTGACCCCTCCTTGGGTTTCCAGGGCAGTATCTCTATGGAAATAGATTGCCCAATCTTCCTTCTGAGGAGTGGCTGGTGGGTTCGAACCACCAGCCTTCTGGTTAGCAGTTAAATGCCTTAGGTAGTACATCACCAGAACTCCCTAGGACTTTCAATGGGCTTGAATTAATGGCCTGACATGTGGTTTGGTAACACTGGGACTGTGCCTTTTTACTTGTCAACCTTGGGATTGTCAGTCTCAGCAGCAAGTAGCAGTCAGTCTCAGTAGCCACTAGCTGCCTGAGTGAAGAAAGCCTCCAGCTTCAGTGAGCTAGGAGCCAGAGGCAGAGCTGAAGTGCAAGGTCGAGGGGCTTTCACCCAGACCCTAGACCCTGCCACTCTGAACTCGGACTTCCAGCTTCCAAAAATTGTAAGAATAAATTCCTGTTTGTTAAAGCCATCCCATTTGTGGTACTTTCTGTTAGAGCAGCACAGAGGTAACCAAAACATCTACCTTTTCCTCTTCTATTTGTTGT